TGATGCAAAACAATCCCAAAGGACTCATGAACATGCTATCTGTTTCCAGAGAAAGAACTGATATTGTCTTGAATACAGACTGAAACATTCTCTCTCCCTCCCTCCCTCCCTCCCTCCTTCCTTCCTTCCTTCCTTCCTTCCTTCCTTCCTTCCTTCCTTCCTTCCTTCCTTCCTTCCTTCCTTCCTTCCTTCATTCATTCCTCCCTTCCTTCCCTCCTTCCTTCCCTCCCTCCTTCCTTCCTTCCTTCCTTCCTTCCTTCCTTCCTCCCTTCCTTCCTTCCCTCCTTCCTTCCCTCCCTCCTTCCTTCCTTCCCTCCTTCCTTCCCTCCTTCCTTCCTTCCTTCCTTCCTTCCTTCCTTCCCTCCTTCCTTCCTTCCTTCCTTCCTTCCTTCCTTCCTTCCTTCCTTCCTTCCTTCCTTCCTTCCTTCCTTCCTTCCTTTGTCTCTCTCTCTTCCATTTTCAAGTCTTCTTGTACAAAATGACTAATACAGAAATGTTTTACATGATTGTACATCCATAACCTATATCAGATTACTTGCTATCTCAGGGAGGAAGGAAGGGAGGGCACAGAGGAAAGGATAGAACTTGGAACTCAAAACTTTAAAAAAATCTAATGTTAAGAATTGTTTTAACATGTAATTTGGGGAAAAATAAAATATTATTTAAAAAAATAATTTGCCTTCTTGTACTAGGATCTGCAATTCACCCTACTTATTACCTGTATTTTGTGCTTATCCCCAGCACCCAACCCTCTTGAGAACTAGAATGTAAAACGACACTGTGGTTCCTTCTAGCTTTAACTCTGTGATACCATGATAGAAATGGGAAGTGGTCTCCTTTACATCCCTTTCCCCAACCTCTATCATCATTCACTTTGCTCTAATCAATCACATAATTATTTGGTATTTTTTCTCTTCTATGGCTAATAAACTGCCAACACCTGTGATTCAGAGTCATTGTCTGATGAGGTAGAAATCCTTTTCCTTTTTCTATATCTCCCCGTATTCTCATGTCTCTCAGGCCCCCTCCACTGTAGTCTCTATCCTCTGCTGCCTTTCCTCTTATACTGTGCTGTGAGGGACTGTCTGATGTTGGCAGCTATCAGGTTGAGCGCTGTGGCAAGAGTAGGGTAAGATCTGGGTATTTTGGAAGTCGAGGCAGGGGCTGTGGTAGGCAGAGTCGTGGTGAACTGGGATGGGCTGGATACAGAGAAGCCCTGAGGCAATGGACGGTGCTTGTGAGATAAGCTGGGTACAAGGAAGTAGCTGGAGCTTGAGCTCCTGAGGCAAGGGGCGGTGCCACATGGGAGTGGGATGTCAGAGGACTGAGTTCCCTTTGCTTAGTCCCCTCCCTATATGCAACGTCATCCCCAGATGCCTCTTGTGACCTTCCTGACTTCCTGGGTCCCTTTGTGCAGCACTGACCCAGACCCCTCCTGAGTCTGACTTCCTAGGTCACGTACTCTTGTCTATGCGTCATTCCCAGATGCCTCCTTCCTATATCCAATCCTGGCTTCCTACGTCACTCCCTCCCCCTTGGTGTGCTAAACTCAGACAGCCCCTTCCAGTATCTGACCCTACAATCATTGGCTAGTAAGCGGGCTGGGGAGGAGGGGCTAAGTAGGTTTTTAGGAACAAGCGTGGTCAGATCACACGTGCGCTCTCCCCGGCTCCTGCCCTGTTGCTCTGGCCTTGCTGCTTGGGCTTGCTATGATGGCTTGCTGTGTTGGCCTCTGAATAAAGCTCTGGTGTTGGTGCCTCCCGATGGCTCGTCTCTGTGTGGTGATCCGGCTGAGTACCGAAGACCCGGGTGTGGGTAAGACTGTGGTAGTGTGCTTCTTATAAGACAAGTGGGTACCAGCTTACGGCTGGCAGAAGGTCGGCGTGCGGCCAGTATACTGTGCCTTATGGAACTCCTGCTCTAAAGCCAACAATAATAACAACTAATATTTATGAAGTACTTACTATGTGCCAGACACTGTACTAAGGGTTTTACAATTATTATCTCATTTGATCTGCACAATAATGCTTGGAAGGAGGTAATTATTATTCTCATTTTGCAGGTGAAGAAACCAAGGCAAACAGAGGTTAACTAATTAGCCCAGGTTCATATAGCTAGTAAGTGTCTGAGGCCAGATTTAAGTTCCAGTCTTCCTCACTCCAGTCCTGGCATTCTATCTCCTGAACCACCCAGCAGCTCCTTCAACAGAGACAAAATCATCCAAGATCTCTTCCTTTTACATTTTTTCCCCTTAACTTCTTGAACTCACAGAAATCTGAATTCTTCTCATATATCTCATTCATGTGTATACTTGCCAGTGTGGTTATTTCCTCTCTCATGCCCCATGACATCCTGGGCCAGAAAGAGGGTGATAGGATAGGATCATAGATTTAGAACTGGACGAGACATTAGAGGACAACCAGAAGAAACTTGTTGTTTCATAGATGTGGATTCTCTTGTCTAAATTTGCATCTTTGCAACTCTCTTCCCTATTGGAAGTAGCTAGGAAGTGAAGCCTAGAGTCAAGAAGAGCTAGGTTCAAATCCAGCTTCAGATACTAACTAGCTGTAGTTCCTGGGTGAGTCATAACTTTCATTTGCCTCAGTTTCCTCAACTGTAAAATTGCTATAAAAATAGCATGGTTGTTGTGAAGATCAAGTGAGATAATATTTGTAAAGCACTGAGCATAGGGTCTGACATGTAGTAGGTACTTAATAAATACTTTTTCCCCTTCCTAGTTTTGGAGTATTGGGCCAAGAAAAACAATTTTGAATGCTTTGATAAAGAGACAGTGTGGTATAGTGGAAAGGTGTATGTAAGGTGGATTTTTTTATTCTTTTTTTAGATAATAGTTCCTAGGAACCTAGATAATAGTTCCCAGGATCCATAGCTATAAACAATTTCTACTTCGACTGTGCAGTGAGATATAACTAGATAATGTAAACATTTGAGTTTAGTTGTAAACAGTTTACAATGCTTGTGCTATGCTGATTCACCATGATATTGCTAAAGTTAATGTAAACTTGTGAGGCTACTGCTGGCAAATTGCCTTCTTTGAGTGTCCTCTATAAATCAAGTGAGCACTAGTCAATAAGTGGGGATTTGGGGAATGTGCTAGCTGAATGCTGTGCCTGCCTTGACCTGCCACATCAAGGCTTGGGGGGAATGCACAAGCTGAAATGCTGTGTGTGTCTCGATCAGCCCATATCGAGACTTAGGAGAATGTGATAGGAATTGGAGTTCCTATTCTTTGTATATTCTCACCCGCCCCTGTGAGAAGAGTAATTAGGGGAAGCTATGGGAGTTGGTGCTCCCATTATCAGCAACTCCATTGACAAGAATAAGAATAAATTATTTAATCCTTCTTTATGTCTCCATTCCTATCCTTCTGGCTGCCCAGATCAAGAGTGAACTTTCTAGAGGTTTGAGCCCAAAAGCTCCAGTGTCTCCCATTCTACAAAAGGGCAGTTGGTTTTGGAGGCAGGAAGACCTGTTTTCACATTCTGTCACAGACATTTACTAGTTGTGTGACTCTGGATTTGGTTCTTGATTTTTCTGGATCTCCCTTTTCTCATCAGTAAATCAAGGTATTGGACTAGATTTTCTTAGTCTCCTTCCATCATAAAAGCTATGATTCTAGTAATTGAGGAATAATCTTGAATCCCCAGGCAACATGATCCATGAATCCAGAGTTCTAGCCAGAGAAGGGAGATTGTATACAGGAAAGTGATAACTTTTGGAGTTGCCTTCTGAGTCTTCTCAAATTCAAGAGTTTGGACACTGGACCTTTTAAAGCAAGGGTCTATGAACTTTAAAAATATATACACACAAATATACATATGTATCTATATCTTTCTATCTATCTATATCTCCTTGCCTTAAATCTCTCCCTATTCCAATGCATCTCTCTACTCATCTGCCAAAGTGATCTCCCATGTCACCTCCTTACTCAATAAACTCCATTGACTCTCCAGTATAAAAAAAAAGTCCTCTGGTATTTAAAGCCCTTCACAAACTAGATCCTTCCTATTTTTCTAGTGTTCTTACACTTTATTCCATTCCACATACTTTCTAATTTAATAACACTTGATTTCTTGCTGCTTCTCAAACAGGATATTCCGTTATCCAACCTGGTACTTTTTTCCACTGACTGTCCCCTAAGCCTGTTTCTCTCCTCATTGTCACCTCCTGGCTTCCCACAGATCTCAGCTAAAATCCCACTTTTTTTTTCAGGAAGTCTTTCCTGTTGCTTCTCAGTACTAATGACTTCCTTTTGAGATTTCCTCTAATTTACTCTATATATATCTTGCATGTATATAGTTGTTTGCATGCCCCCCCATTAGAATGTGTTTCTTGAGGAGAGACTGTTTTTGTCTTTTGGTGTATCCCCAATGCTTAGCATAGTGCCTGGCATCTAGTAAGTGCTTAATAAATATTTGTTGACTTGAATTAATCAATTAACAAGTATTTATTAAGTGTTATTTGTCCTTCATTTCAAAGAGGACCAATAACATCACAGGGTGATATCTTGACTCTTGAGTGAATTGGATTTAAGTGAGGCAAAGTTGCACAAAGTCATCAGCCTCACTCTCTCCACAAGAGTCATTAAAGTCCAGCGGCAGTACTGATGGTGGTCCAGGATGCAGTGGTTGACCTTGGCTTCATTACTGTCTAACCAAGCTCTAAGGACTCCACAATACCTGCTTCAGCCATCTTCATGGCTATTGGAACAAATTGTTCTCATCTGCCCATTTGGCTGGGGGAAGTTTTCACATGTTTGGGATAGACATCCCCCTAACTCACTGACACCTAATTTAACCTGGTATAGTACCCATCTGTTGAGACGATTTCACTGGGTTGTGGCAGCTGCACATGTTACAGCTTCTTAGAGCCCTAGGTGAGAGCTGGGTGAAGGTAGACACCAAAGGTGAATGAGTAGCCTGGAAAAGGGCTCAGCAAACCTTCATACCAGAGGTGCTAGCCCTCCCTGAACACCCCATATACCCTATTGACCAAGAGCAAATGTAGTAATGTTCTTCTCAGTTTATTATCTGATACACTCTCTATCCAAGGACAATATGGTAAATGGATTTTTTGAACAAGGAGATGGAATAGAAACTTGCTCTGTCCATTCTATGCATCTACTCATTAATGCAGTACTTCCAAGAATGGTGCATCTCCCTCATTTATTAAGTACCTATGGTACTTTGGGGATACAAAGACAAAAATGTCACCTCTACACTCAAGGATCTTACATTCTATGGAAGTATTGTGTCCTCATTGGAAACCATAATCCAACAATGTGTTATGTACAAGAGACATGCTTGGGACAGAAAGGCATACAGAGTTGAAATAAAAGGCTGGAGCAGAATCTATTATGCTTCAGTTGAAGTGAAGAAAGCAAGGGCAGCAATTAAGTTCTCAGACAAAGCAATAGCAAAAATAGACCTAATTGAAAGAGATAATCAGGGAAATTAAATTTTGCTAAAAGGTTACATGGACAATGAAGTAATATAAAAATTTTTATAGCACGTTTCTCTGATAAAGGCCTCATTTCCCAAATATAAAGGAAACTGAGTCAAATTTATAAAAATAAGAGCCATTCCCCAATTGATAAATAGTAAGGATATGAACAGGCAGTTTTCATAAGAAAAAATCAAAGTTATCTATAGTTATATGAAAAAAATTGCTTGAAATCACTATCACTTAGGAGAAAGGCAAATTAAAACAACTCTGGGGTACCACCTCATACCTATCAGAAGTGATAAATGCTGGAGGAGATGAGACAAAATAGGTACACTAATGAATTGTTGGTATAGTAGTGACCTGGTCCAACCATTCTGGAACAATCTAGATCTATGCCCAAAGGGCTATGAAATTGTCCATACCCTTTGATATGGCAATACCACTACTAGGTCTATAGAATCTATCTATACAAAAGTAATTGTAGTAGTACTTTTTGTGGTGGCAAAGAATTGGAAATTTAGGGAATGCCCATCAATTGGGAAATGACTGAACAAGTGGCATATGATTGTGATGAAGTACTATTTGCTATAAGAAATTACAAGGTAGATGGTTTCAGGAAAAACAAACAAACAAACAAACATATCAAGACCTATATGAACTGATGCAAAGTGAAGTGAGAAGAACCAGGTCATCATTTTGCACAGTAACAGCAATGTTGTAATGATGATCAACTGTGAAAGACTTGGCTACTCTGATCAATACAATGATCCAAAGCAATTCCAAAGGACTCTGGATGAAAAAATGCAATTGTAATGGGAAGGATTGCGGACTGCTCAGTACTTTCACTTTAGGTTCAGATCTCAAGATATAATGACACATCCTCGGTATAAACTTAACACATTTATTTTACAATGATTAATAATGATTAAGGCAACACAAGCATATAAAGATAAGAACAACATTCAATGCAATAAGTAATAATCAAAATCAAGAAAAGGAGGAATAAGAAAAGAAAGGATACACACTCACTGACCAGGCGAGCTCAAATACCTATGAGACCAGGGAGGCTGGAAACAAGAGGTCTGATCAGGAGGCCAAAAGAGCAGCGTCCTGCTCTTAAACAACAAGGACTGTTCCGCCCTTGAATAGCAAGAGAGAATCGGTGTCCCTATCTCTGACATCAAAGCACTCCAAAAAATCCCTTTTTCAGATGCCCCTTTTATATCTATGTAAACCAGGGAAAAACAATCTTAATATTTTGTTTTGTGTACATATCCCTGGTGAGCTCAGGTCCTGGATATGCACACATCCTAACAAAGGTGGGAGCTTGATCAGAGCCCCAAATTCCTGCTTATTGTATAAGTCTCCAAGGAGTGATCAGGTCCTCGGACAGTTATACACCTCTCTCAAGAAAAATGTTCCTTGAGATAAGAATTGCTTTCTCAGGTAACATAGTTTGTTGGTTACTTAATGTTCCATCTCCATAGCACCCTCAGCCATGCATAACTCCAATTTACATTCTTTATGTCAAGTCATGAGGTGGTTTCATGAGGGGCTGGGGAAGATCTTCCTCAGTTTCCCTCACAGTAATCAGAGAAAAAACTGATGAACTCTGAGTTCAAATTGAAGTATAGTTTTTTTTCACTTTATTTTTTTTCCTATGTGGCTAATATGGAAATATGTTTTGCATGATTTCACATGTATAATTGATATCATATGGTTTGCCATCGCAGTGTGTGGGAGGGAGGGAGAGAATCTGGAACTCAAAATTTAAAAAGAAAAGAATATTAAAAGTTATATGATAAAATATCATTGCAAAAAAAGAAAGGGCCTTGGTTAGGAGACTTGGAGCTCTCTGAGCTGTAGTGGACAATTGAGCCCCTTGGGCTCAGGAACTATGGGTGCTATTTCTGGTGTATTGTATTTCAAATAGGATTTCTCTATGGTGTGGTATTATACTTTTTTTAATCTTTAAATTATGAAACCTTAGTTTCCTTATCTGAAAAATGGGGATAAGAATATTTGAACTGTGTTATTCAAATAAGAATATGAGAATAAGAATATTGATGGGCAAAATGACTAGTAAACCTTAAAGTATTGAAGAGAAAAAAGAAATATTGTGCCCTTTTATTGGCCAATAAATTAAATGTATTGGTGGGAATCTATGAGCTATTATTTTGAAAGGGTATTGACATTTAGCCTTGAATCTGGAGTAGCTTCTATGTGTGAAGTGGGTCCAGGATGCAATACTATACATTATAAAAATGAGTTATAACAGAAAGATAACTTTAATATATTTCTAAGTTTATCCAGAAATGTATAAAGGCTGCTTTTTTCCAAGTTAAGTAAAATTTTAAAACACTAAAATTGTTTTCTGATTTGGAGAATACACTACTGAGTTCTTTCCTTCTTTTCCTTCATCATTGGTACTAACTTATTGTGAACCAGGTGATAACAAGCTTAAGGAGTGAAGTGAATGGAGTCATCTGAACAGAAAGCCTTTTTTTTGTTGTTCAGTTGTTTTTCAGTTGTGTCAGATTCTTTGTGAACCCATTTGGAATTTTCTTGGCAAACATACTGGAGTTATTTGTCATTTCTTTCTCCAGCTCATTTTACAGATGAGGAAACTGAGGCAAACAGGGAAAAGTGACTTGCCCAGGGTCATATAGCTAGTAAGTGTCTGAGGCCAGATTTGAATTTAGAAAGATGAGTTTTCTTGACCCCAGGTCCTCCATCCGGGGCACCATATGGAGAAAACCAATATTCTAAGATATTCCCAGGGTTCAGTCAGGCTAGGACTGAGAACTGAGACCTACAAAAGCTGATCTCATATCTGACATAAAACAAAGCAGTTTAGTCTCTTTGAAGCACATTCTGCACTTGGTTTGCGCTCCCATAATGGTTGCACATTATCCCAGGAGCGGCTTTTATTCTGTGTCTTTGTGGCAGTTCAATGCTCAGGCTGTTTCATTGTGCATAATGATGGCAGCGGGGGAGGCAGTGCTCTGTGAATAAGACTCTGAGTACATGTTTAAATTAATGAAAGACCTTTCAAACCCAAATTGCCCAGTAATCTGTGACATGAAAGGCTTTTGTGTGTGTTTTTTAATACATCTAATGCTCTTTCCTTCCACTAAAGTACTGCTCTGATGCCTCTTTGGGATAAGGAGGTGAGCCAGGATTCTCAAAAAGGCAGGTCCTAGCAGGCAGTAATGGCCTCAAGTACAACCTAGGTGACACATTGCATCTCTGCCTTCTGAGAATGAGCCTGCCTCACTGTGGAGGTTCATTTCCACCAGATGATAATTGATGATGATGATAATGGAGGATGAGGAGGAAGAAGAGGATGAAGGGGGGGAGGATGATGATAATGAGGATCATTGGCTACAGCAGCTAATGAAAAGCTTCAGGATCATAATATTTAGAGCTGGAAATGAACTCAGAGGTTATCTAGTCCAATCCTCTCATTGCATAGAAGAGAAATTGGGGCCAAAGAGTGGAAAATGATGTGCCCAAGGTTGCCTAGGCAGTAAAAAACTGAGCTAGGATTTGAACCTAGGTCCTTTGATTCCTAGTCCAGTACTTTTTCTACTATACCATATTACCTCTATTAAGGCAGGGAGAATTTATAATCAACATCAGGGGAGGGAGTTGCACTGATGCAATAATGTATCTTTATAAGTAGTGAAAGAAGGACTTGGGAGCCTAGTTCTGATACGGAAGTTATCAGTTATCATTCCTGGAGGCCATGACAAAAATAAAACAAAAAAAACATAACTGGTCTAAACAAGAGGGCTTTATAGAAAGGCAGAATCTGGGTTAGAAGGGACATCAGAAACTATCTTGCCTAATGTATACTTTCTCTCTCTTTCTTTCTCCATATATATGCATGTGTGTGTGTGTATGTGTGTGTATACACACATCTATATCTACTGTATATTATTTCTGTAAAATGATAACTGATGATAGAGAGAAAGCAGTCACTAACAAGTGGACACCCAGCTTCTTATTAAAGATGTCCTATGACTGAAACCTTCAAGCATAAGCTGGTGAGAGATCATGTGGTTGTTGTCTAAGAGCCTGCCTAGTGAAACATAAAAGGTTTGTTACCAGATGATTTTCTCTCAGAAAGTGATGATGAATTGCTACCAATATCTTAACATGACAAGAATAAGCCTTATTGGCACCACTCATGATCTAACTGGAACACAGAGATGGTCACCTTTTATAAATATCTCTTAGGATTGTTCTTTTATTGAGTCTTGATTGGACTTTTGGCATTAACACTATGTCTCAAATAACAGGATCCCTGATAATTAAGTGGGGGAAGCCTCTCCCCTCCCCATCTCTGGAAACCTACCTGGTGTACGTGATTAATGACAGCCCAAGCTCTTACCTTTGCCTTCATAGATGGTTGTGGGAAGAATCAGGAGATATATAATAGGGTTGCTAAAAGACCTATTTCTATAGCATTCATAGTGGCTATAGTTTCTTGGTCCACAGGGCATAGGGAACTGGAGAACATAATGGTAGGAAAGGGCCCCTCCCCACCCCATTATTCCCAATTTCTTCTGGGCATCAGTGGAATCAGCAAAACAAGAATAGAATTCAGGATTGGGAGACCGAATGCCAAAGTTGGACATTAAAGATAGAGAATATGGGAGATGACTTGGACCTAAGGAATGAATGGAAACTGAACATTACAGCATAGCAATG